CTATCTCAAACCAAGTCATAAAACAGCATGAAAACCTGTCATTTACTATTTAAACCCAAAGAAAACATTGTAAAATCTCCCATATCGCTAAAATCACTGTGTGTGTGTGTGTGTGTGTGTGTGGCTAGTCTGCAAATGAGAGATGCAATAACTTTAAGTGGTGTTAAGGACGTGAGCGGGACAGGTTAACAAGCGTCACTGCCCTCTATAAACACTACCTTCAAAATCACTTATTTAAAGCCACGGTATATAACTTTAACTAAATGAATTGAAAATCAAGTTTTTTGTCAGACCGTTGTTGTTTTGCAAGTCTCAAGTAAGTCTCAAGTCTTTGACCTCAAGTCCCAAGTCAAATACAGGCAAGTCCAAGTCGAGTCTCGAGTCACTGGTCCATGAGTCCAAGTCAAGTCCAAGTCGTCTGCTTTGAGCCTCAAGTTATTTCAAGTCTTTAAACCAAAGTACCAAATATATCTCACATTTTAGCAATTTTTATGACTTTTAAGATAAATTGTACTTTAAAGGAGGCCCGTGCCCTCCGATCAGCTGATGCCAACCTCCTGTCTCCCCCCGCCAGGACTAAACATAAGACCTGGGGGGACAGGGTCTTCTCCGCCGCTGCTCCCACCCTCTGGAACTCCCTGCCCAAACACATCAGAGACTCATCCACACTCCCCATGTTTAAAAAAGCCCTGAAAACCCATCTCTTTAAAAAAAAAACTTTCATTAACTCTCTTTTCTCTTGTTTGTCATTGTTTGTCTTCCCATGTAAAGCGTCTTTGGGTATCTTAAAAAGCGCTATACAAGTGTTATGCATTATTATTATTATTATTAAAAAAATCATAGTATATTTATATATGAGTATTTATTGAGTGTGTAAGAGTTGTAGAAATGTAAATGTTTCCTTTTTAAATGTCTTGACAAGATCTTAGTGTGAATCATTACAGTCAGAATAGAAAGAATTCAGATTTAAAAGTGCTTCTCAAGTCTTCTCAAGTCACAGGCCTCAAATCCAGTTCAAGTTCCAAGTCACTGACCTTCAAGTCCAAGTCGAGTCCCAAGTCTTAGTCTGTTTTATCAAGCCAAATCTCAAGTGACTCAAGTCTGACTTGAGTCCCCACCTCTGGTCCATACTCTTGAGTGGGCACAACATTTATATCACCAATATTACACCATTATTTTTGATACAGAATAAAGCCTCTTGAATTATGAATAAAGCTGGGTTTAGAAAGCACACAAATTCATAAATTCAGGGTTGAAACTTAAAAACATTGTAGAATTACAGGCATGATTGGTTATGTTCAAAGCAAGAAACAGAGCTTTGTCAGAAGACATACAAAAAATATCTGTGTTTATGTGGATGAAAATTACAGATTTCATTTTAACCATCAAGTGGGACGGACCACTCTGTCCACTCTGCCTGGAATGTTCCACAGATTTTAAAATAATACCAACTGGAAACTCATGAATTGTAAATAGTATTATGCAGAGGGAGGAGCAAAAAAAAAAAAAAAAAAAAAAAAAAGTTACATACAGTGCCTTTAAATGGAAATGTTTTTTTTTTTGTATTTACCATGGGACATAAATCAAACCCTGACAAGCGTTCCTTCATAATAGCTCTTGGGAGGAATATCTTAAATTTTATGCAATATGAATTTAAATAGACGATATATAATTCAAAGTAATGGTACATTATTTAACCTGCAGTATATGAAGGTAGTGAAGTGGCTGTCAGCAGTGGAGGGAGTGGTGGAGAGAGAAGGAGTGAGAGACAGAGCAAGACTTGTGGTGAGTTCAAGTGCTCTTCATAAAGTCTGTAAGAAAGCCATTTATTTTAGTCAGTGCCATCCACACAAATGCAGGACGGGAGGCCGAATATTTGAGATTGAAATGGAAAATCATGATCTATGAAAAACACAAAATCCAATGTGAAGCAGTGAGAAAACAGTGGGGCTGCAGTGGCTCAGGCGGCGCAGTGGGCACCTCATAACCGTACGTTTGGCGGTCCGATACCAGCTCCAACCAGTGCTGCTGTTGTGTCCTTGGGCAATATGCAAAATTGAGGTGTGCGAAAAACAGACAGATATTTAACAATGTATTGTAAAGTGATTTGAAGTGTTAATAAAACACTGTCTAAGTCCAGTGCATCATTATTTTTAGATTATTAGAATAATTAAAAAGTAAAAACTTTGCCAGAATAATTACTACCTAAAGGTGAACTGTGAAACTTGTTGGTTGGGGGTCTGTCACCTGCTTGTTTCTATGGATATGTCATTGGAATCTTCTACAGTATGACTTTAAACAGCTCTACCTTACATTTATTAATTACAGGTGGTTTTATACCTCACAAATACCTAGGAAAACATTCTGGTGCCTCCAGCTCCCATGAATTCATCTGAGTACAGATCTGATCTGTCACTGTGTGGACGCCTGAAAACGTTGATACGCTGATGTAGGAGCTCTAGTTGCCGTTCTTATTGGACCACGTCACTGTGATTTGCACTTTCCTGATTCGCTGGGTTTGTGATATTGGTCATGTGATGCTATGGCAGAAAACAGTTTAAACAAACCATAGACAAACAGGAAACAGCGTAGCTAGAACTACTTGCTAGTACAAGGTCCACAAGCCTTTTTCACACTTGCTATCTTCTTTGGCTTGAAATCGGCTGCTGCAACTTCAGACACGGTGCTCAACTTCCTTATTTTTACCGCCCACGTGATGTCGTGATGACGTGATTTCAGCTTAATCATGTGACTAGCGTTTCAGGCAGTTTCACGTTAAAGGGCAAAGTATAGTTCTATAGTTTTATGCGTATGACCTGCAGAAAATCACTGAAAAGTTTAACATGAACCATCTCCAACGCACAGAACAGACTCACCATTAGCAGAACACCCCTCTGTCACAGAAAGAACACATATAATCCACTGAGTCATGTCCTGTAGTCCGACAGAAGATGAGCGCATTAAGGCACAAGGAGCGAGCTGTTTTTTGAGCGCTTAGTTTATGCAAATTAGCCATGTGATTTTAAGTTTAATTTCTATAAAATGTAAACAAATATGCACAAAGCTGTGTGGATAGGGAAGGCTTGCGAACACAGAAACGACGCAAATCCTTTCCGATATGGTGATACGGTGATACGGTGATAGGGTGATATGGTGATACGGTAATTAATTTCAGTGTAAATGTGACCTGAGTTTGATTAAGTACTATTATATTATAATTAGAATTAACCTAACCCTAAGAAAGGCTTGAAGGATGGGTCAAATGCCGAAGATCAAATTCTCCACAGCGACAATAAAGTGTAAACCTTAACCTCAATTAAAAAGGCCTGCTATAACTCACAATAGCGTTTCTAAGAATACTGTGATAAAGCTGCTAGGAGTATAACCTCTTTGTGTTGGTTGAGCGGTGGCAGATGGTCTGGTCTAACACTTGGGCTCTGGTAAACAGTCTCCTTTAGAAAACGCACAGGAGCTCCGAGGAGGTGCTGAAGCCTTCATTACACTTTTATACAAACAACTTTACACCTGCCAAATGTGCAAAGGTGTAGCAGAGAGAGTGGAAGATACAAAAGATTCCAAAATGCAAACGGAATAAAACTATGCAAGAGATAGATTTGAACTGAAATGTTGGCATTGTGTGTGTGAGGTTTAAAGGTGCACTGTGGAACATAGCTGACCTGCTTGCCGTCTCGTTCCAAAAGGAAGTGAGCACGGGCACGCTTCTGGCTCCATCGACTCTGGCTCTAGTTCACATTGTATTGAGAAACTGTGGCTTCTCTCTCTGTAACTACTGTTGTCAGGCTCCTCATGTCGGTCATAAAATGTCGTTTTTAACCCCCTCGTGTTTTTATTTCACCATTTTGTACGTGAAATAATTCCTAATCCAAATGTGTCTGCCTCTGTGAGCTTCATTTGACTCGAGCCGAACGCCATGGGTGATGACACATTCTCTTACTCCACTTCTTTATACAGTTTATAGTGTGGAGGCGAATCCACACAGTTTTTCAAGTTTTTATATATATTTTTTTAAATGATAAAAACAACTGTGCATAATAAGATACAAGGACATGTTTAATGCCAGTGGAATATTCTACAGAAAGCGACATAAAATTTTGCGTTACTAAAAGAATCTGCGCCATGTGGTACTACAAATGAACCAAACTATATATTCATAAATAAATAAGACATAATAAAATAAAACTTTAAGTATATTGCTTATCTAAACCTACACAACCACTCTACTGGCTCGCCACACTAAAAGCTCCCCATATGAATGCCATATTGTCCATAAAGTCCAGAAGATTTACACACTCTCGGCTTTGGAGCGGCTGCTGTTTTCCGTATGATTTATGATCAACACAATAAATATTTAGCCAAGCATCTGTGTTCAATTTTATTTTGATATAGTTACTGTTTAATGCTGCCATTCAAACTGGAGTGCAGATAAACCACAGCATTCTTGTCACAGTATAATGTCACGAGGAATTTCAAGAGCTGCTGACGATATTACGCTAAATTGACTCTTGAGAGCTTTAAGCAATGTTATAAAGTTGTTACTTCATCAAAAACAAACCTGGAGTTGTGTTTTGTTTCATTCACGCATCTTAGAGTAGTCTTTTATTATCAGTCTCATCCTAAAGATTTGTAAATTTTGTGTGTGAATGAAATACAACTCCAGGTATGTTTTTGAGGAGGAAGGCCCTTTAAAAGTGTAGATTTCTGCTCAATTTTTTTAAAGTAACGCAACAAATTTTAAGATTAAAGGTGACTATGTAAGCTTTGTGGTGGAGCGTAGCCTATGAAACATTCTGAAGATGTTGTTTTGCCTGGAAGGTTCCACAAAATGGCATTAAACTTCGCCATCTTTATGCAAACATACTGAGGAAATGACAGACTGTAAAAAGATTGTTTGAGTGATTGTCTCTTACGTTTCTCTTTTTTTTTTTCATGTATGTATTTCTTCCTCTTTGTCTAATGATCCCATGCTGTTTGTTTTGCAGGAAAAATGTACATGGTAGAAAACAACACCATAGATACAGGCGAGGTGGACGTGGGAAGAAGAGCCATACAAGATGTCCCTCCAGGTCAGAAAACAGGACTTAAACCTTTTCAACTTAATGAATAACACAATACTATAATTTACTATGTGACTGTTAGGACATTTCTGTTTTATGGCTCACTATGGATGACTTGCAGAGGTGGAAAAAATTACTAATTACTTTTTGGCATATATTTTCTTTCAATTTAGATCTGTATTTTAGTTAAGTTGAATTAATTGCTTGAAACCACAATATGAGCTGTTTTTTCACTTTGGCAAATTAGGTTGGGACTATTTAGGGTGATTTTTATATATTCATTTACAAGTGCTAGAACATGTTTAAATATCTGCTCACAAAAGTACAATTAAAGACAAACAGTTACGCAATTCACTTTCGAATATCACTCATATACAAGTAAAAAGTAAGCTTTGTAAAAACTATTTATACTACACTTTAAGGTCCTGTATTATGCGAAAGTGACTTGTGAGCTTTATTTCATTTTACATTGTGGTTGCCACCTTAAAAACATAACCAGAGTTGTGTTTTGTTTCATTCTTACATATTTGAGTAAACCTTTATTATTAATCCAGACCTGTCAAACTCAGGCCCGGGGGCTAAATTTGGTCCGTGATATAATTATATTTGGCACGCGAGATCATATCAAATTATGTATTAGAGCTGGTCCACCTGCTGCAGATAGTCTATAGAGACATTATTTATTTTAAATTTTGTTATTATTTTATATTATGCTTGTTCTGGATTCAATGTTTTAGCAAAATTATTATTAAACATTTATTTTAACTTAAAAAAAAAAAGGTTTAACATTACATATTTCAAAATAAGAGAAAACATGCAGATGATGATGAAAATTTCAATAAATATTTAGTTTAGTCCACTTTTTAATTTTGGCCCTCTGTGAATTTGAGTTTGACACCCCTGTATTAATCTATCTAAATACAAAGCTTAAAACGCCCTGTTCCACCTTGTGATGTCATGAAGCAGTAGTTTTCAAGTTAACAGCTACTTTTTACCTTTAGTTTAGTAGAAATTTGCAATTCCATGGCTAAAATTATGATTCTAGTGAATGTGTATGTGTATGTAATTTTTAAAACACAATGGAGCACTTCCTGTATTACCACATGACATCAAAAGGTAGAACAGAGTGTTTTCAGTTTGATAGAAGAAATCTGCCTAAATATGCAGGGTTTCCTTGTAAAACATGCATGAATGAAACAAAACACAACTTCAGGTATGTCTGCGATGAGGAAACAACATTATAACATAGATCAGAAAATCGTGTAATATGGGCCCTTTAAAGAATATCATTACAACCAACTTTTGTCTACAAGTTCTAAAACTCCCTACTGCAGTCTGGTCTTAATGACAGGAGACACCTCAGGTCTTACACAGTGCATTTGAATGAACTCTGGGTTATAGATGTACTCTGATGAATTCAAATATACTTGGTGTGCAAATGAGTTCTTTTGGGATAATGAGAACAAAATTACTTAAAATGCAAAGAATATTAATTATGTGGTGTCTTCTTGGAATTGGAATTCATTTAAGTTTTAATTGAAGCGCCATGCATACTGATCACATATAAAAGTATGTAGTGAAAGATGGATAGCATACGATTTTATCACTTTTATACATTTATACATTCATTTAAGCTTGTTCTATTGAATAATCAAATCAGATTTATAGATGGTTGAACATTTTTATACACCACTACTACTGATTCATTCAAGAGTTAGATTCGATTTGATAACTACATTCATTTTCTTTTACAAAATGTTTAGTATAAAGTATATTAACTTGACATATTGACTTTGGTAACAACATCACAGAAAGCAAAGCATTAATAAAAACGACTACAAAAAGAAATCGCTGAACCTGTAATTAGCCTTTTTAGCTCTGTAGTTATGGCTTATGTTACCTCAGTCCAGCACATTGTTTTCACTTTTAATCACCATACTTCTGTTGTAAAAAAAAAAAAAAAAAAAAAAAAGCAGTCAAAAGTCACACATTTATTGGTAATAATTAAATCTACTTTGTTTGAAACCAATTATTTATCACTAAAAGTACAGAACAAACAACCAGTAATCATTAGAAAACAATGTGTAATTAAGTAGTTTCTAGTACTTTTAGATTGTATTAAAAGGCATCCAGGCGTCCATTTGGGTGACACGGTGGTCAATAAAAAAATAAATAATCCTTTTTAAACGCTTTAAAAAATAAAACAACTTATTTTTAATGGTTTGCAGTGGTCCAATGTTGATCCTCAATTACTTTATGCATTCAGAGCATCCAAATTATTTACAGAAATGAGTTTATAAGTACTTTTCACAACTTTTTGCCATCGCTGTAATACTAATAACAGCTAGAATTTTTACAGTGCACTTCTTGATTATCTAAAAATAAAACTTTAACACTTTATAATTACATGCAGACAGTACACAGATGAAGTACTTTGACCTCAAGAGCTACATTATATCTGTACTAGGGAAAGACAAATTTTGCTCAAATACATAAATCAGGTAAAGGGTCTAATCTAATCAATTCTCTTTTTTTGTAATATGTTCAGTTGATAAGAAGCAGATTAGACAAAAGAAAAGTTTACGTTTATCCAGTACATAACTGATAAAGTCAATCACAGAAGTATAATAATGATTTTTGTTGCAGGTGTTTTCTGGAGGTCCCAGTTGTACATCGACCAGCCCCAGTTCTTAAAATTCAACATCTCGGTTCAGAGAGATGCTCTTGTGGGCGTGTACGGACGAAAAGGCCTTCCTCCATCGCACACACAGGTAAGAGCAGAGAAGCAATAATCTGAATGAACAGTAATAAAGGTGCACTGTGTAACTTGTTGGGCTTGGTTCGGGGGTCCTTCACTTGCTTGTTTTGATGAATATGTGATTGCACTGCCTGGAATGTTCCACAGTATGATATTAAACAGCTCTACCTTACATTTATTCAATTACAAGTGGTTTTATAGCTCAAAAATACCTAGAAAAACAGACATTCTGACTGTGAGCAGGGTTGCCTCTTCGCAGATCTGACCTGTAACTTGGTTTGGTCTCCATGAAAATAGAAAGGTTTAATGCCATACAGTGAAACATTCCAGGCAAAGCAATAACCATGTCCATGTAGAAAAGCATTCTACTAGAAAAGTTACTCAGTGCACCTTTAAGCTATTAAATATTACAGTGTTGTCACTTACTGGACCAAAGTGCCACAAAATCTAAACAAGATCTATGAAAAACACATTCATGATATACCAGATACACATAGTGATTTTAAATTACATTTATTTTTAATTCATTCCATATTCTGTAATTTATTAACTACCACAGCCGCCATAAGTGAGAATAACAAAAGTTCCTGCCGATTTATGCCCATAGCCATTTCAATTCCAGTACCTATTAGTCACACATGCATCATTCATGCATACAGGCAAAGTGGACGAAGTGTATTGCTCAAGGACACAGCAACAGTGTCATATTATGCAATCATCTGTGCTTTTAACTGTGCTGCTGTAACAAATAATATATCAAACTGAAATAGCGACTCTAGTTGCTACAATTGTCAGATGACAAAGCATGCAATTATTTAGTGAATAGAATGTCCTTGGCAAAGAACTAAATATCTTTTTTCTTAACAGAAATCTCTTGTTTTACCTGTATGTTTGACCTCTACAAACATTCCGATATAGATGAGAATGTTATATTACTTTATCAGTTCATATTTCAGTCTTCTCATATGTGAATGTGCCTGGAGATGTTCACAATGCAACAAAATACTCCTTTTTACAGTAAATGGTCACATATATATATATATATATATATATATATATATATATATATATATATATATATATATATATATAGTGCTTTTCCAACTTCAAGGCACTCAAAATGCTTTACATCAAGTAACCACTTACCCATTCACACACACATTCATACACCAGTGTATGCAGACACAGGTGGGTGAAGTGTCTTGCCAGTACACACAATGGCAGCATTTATGTGTCAGAGCTGGAATCACACTGCCAGCCTGTTGGTCACTGGTTCTGACAGCTCTACCAATGATGTTTATGTTAACAAGATTTGAACCACCAGCCCATTTTTAAACATATCTTACAAATCTAATTGCTGTTGTAATGCTCCTTAAAAGAAAAAAAAGAAAATTAAAATTTCTTCAAAATTTCTTCAGCAACCATTATTTCTAATCTTGCATATTAGACTCTGCCAAACTGTTCTAATAATCTAAATGAGAACAAAGTGATAAATTGGCCTTAACAAATTCCTGACCTCTACTTTGACCAAATTGTTAAAAGTTAGAAGCCTTTTTTTTTTTTTCTCTCTTTTTCTTTCTCTACAAAGTATCAAAAACGCAAAATCCCCTTCTCGACCTTGCTCCTTTGTGCGGGTCAACTACTTTATGGGTTCTCGATTCATAATGAAATAGATAAGCTCCTTACCAACTTGGAGCGTGTCTTTAATGACTGCACTTACATCTGTGTGTGGTCTTCTATCAGGGGACTAATCCACTTATCACCAAAGGACACCATGATACAATGCCCCTTCATGGACTACGCAGCATTCGCACATTAAATATAAGGGGAGAGAGTGGGCGTCCTTGTCGTAACCCCATCCATCCATCCCGCTTCCCATTAACTCTTTTAGCATCACAGATCAGGAGGAGCGGAGAAAAGTCAACCAAATGTGCTGCTGGTAAATTAGATACATGAAGTCTAGTGTCTCTGTAGACCACTTTTAAGGCCAGGCTGTTCCATGTGGAAAAATGGCTAAAGGCAAAAATCACTTCTTGACTTTAAAGGTATACTTTTGTATTAAGGTGAAATAGGGTCTTTGGGATTGGTGGCATACTTAAGAATTTATTGGACTGTAGAAAAGATATGGACTGTATGTGTAAGGGTGCTGAGGGTTTAGAGAATGTATACAGTACATGTTACAAAACTCTTTTTTTTTTTTCTAAATGATACAAAATTTAGTTATGTTTGTTATTTGGAAGTTAGCTGTTTCAAATCTCACCTCGATTTGTGGAGATGTAAGCCTGCTCAGAGTAAGGATACATTTTTCGACCAAAATGGAAAAAAAAAAAAAAACATACCTGGAGTTATGTTTTATTTCATTCACATATGTTCAGTGTTCGATGATTGACAGTTCCAGGGCTGAAATCCAAATGAATCCAGTGAACGTGCATGGAGTTTATATTCACTGTGGAATACCTGTATTACCACATGACATCACAAGGTTCTGTTTTCAGTGTTTTCAGTTTGAGAAAAAAATAAATATGCAGGGTTTGTAAGTTAAACATTTGTGAATGAAACAAGACACAACTCTTTGCATGTTTTTGAGGACAATAGTGCAATACGGGCCCTTTAAGGAGTTTGTGATGACCTTTCCCCGTTCAAAGCATATGAAATTTAGTTTTAAATTACAATACTACTATAGGAATGAAGGTTACTCAAATTCTTCAAATCAGAAAGGAATCTGTATGCCTGAATCCTATGAATACTGTATAAAGTAATATTCAACACTAGCATCAAACTAGTATCAAGATCATAAAGTAAAGGTGCATTTATGTATAAGTAAGTATATATATATAAAAACCAGAGATGTTTTTTTTTTTTATATATAACAAATAGTATGTATAAGTATATAAAACCAGAGATGTTTTTTTTTTTTTTTTTTTTTTTTAAATATGTATATATATATATATATATATATATATATATATATATATATATATATATATATATATATATATATATATATATAACAAATCTAAGTACATATAAGTATATGACAACCAGAGATTTGTTTTTATATTACACAAATGTAATTATATATAAGTATATGAAAACCAGAGATTTTTTCTTAAAATTTTTATTAATGTATTTATTTTTCAATATTAAACAAATCTAAGTATATGAAAACCAGAGATTTTGTTTTTTTTTTGTTTTTCTTTTATGAAACAAATCTAAGTAGCAGGTTTCACTAAGAGTCCATTTAGGAAACATTTTGCAGTGTGACCATTAGCCTACTTTCACTGTGGCCATATGGAGCGAGACCTAAATTGGTCCCAAGGTGAAGGCGGCTAACTGCTAGCTTTAGTTTTTATAACTGATTAAAGCTAATGCAAACTCACTTTCATTAAGGACACAGTCACAAGCCAAAACAAACATTTAAGCTTTTATAAGGATTACTAAGTTCAGCGGGGAAAAAAAAATATATTGATGTATTTTCTCCCAAAATGTTGGTAGCTTCTTGAAAAATAATTTAACTGTGGTAATTGGCCAATGTGAAGTAGTCCACAGACAGATTAGTGGAACTGCTGGTTAGGCTGTGTAAACGGTAAATTAGGCAAGAAAGAAAATACTTTGGGGGCCACTTGAAACTGTAACTAGATATTTTTCTTGTTATTAAAAGTACTTGGACAAGCTGGAAAAAAATAAAATAAAATCCTGCAAGAAGTACTGTATAATACAAAAAGTTATTACAATAAATTTGGCTCATTTTCAAATAACTTGTGAATGAAATGTGACTATATATTTGAACCTGGAGAGATGAACATACAAGAAATAACTGATTGAAAAGTGTTAGTCCTTTGCAGTATGGGTAAATTAATAATGGGACAGTATGATAGATTATTGTTTTGAAGAGGAGGAAGTAGAGAGGCTGAAGTGGCTGAAAGTTGCGCTGCTGTGTTGAATTGAGACTGTATTTATATGATATTTTTGTGTATCATGAACCATCATTTATCTACAATAGACCATAAACAAATATAAGGCATAGGATTGAAGTATGATGTCTTTACTTTTACTTTTTGTATGATATCTCAACCAACGACAACCAAAAAGATAAGGCCATACTTTTTTTTTCAATGCACATTTCAGGGTTGGGTCTGGTTAGTACTTGGATGGGAAACCGCTGGGTGTCACAGTGAAGCAGCAGAGGCTCAAGTGCATTCTGTTGTTGTGTCCTTAGGCAGGGCACTTTACCCAAATTCCCTAGTGACGTATGAGTGTTTGATGGTTGGAGTTGGGCAGTCTCACTTCCATCAGTCTTGAAAAAACTGTAAAGTGACTTTGAGCATCTGGAGAAGTGCTACATAAGAATAGTGCATTGTCCGTATTTTAGATATTGGTGATGTTGTAGATGTTTTCAGCTTGTCCAAGAAAGTGGATGTCTTAAGCAGCAGAAGTTTATTTACCATCAATAATACGGGCCTGGGGAGACTTGAAAACTCAACATAGTATGATTTCAAAAGTGAACATAGTATGATCTTTGCGTGTTCAAGCCCCTTGACTCTGCTTTCAAAGGAGGAGCTTTATAAAACAAGTGTGGTGAGACTATGAAGACCAGTTGACACCAGTTAATCAGCATTTAGTGAGACTATGAAGGACAGTAGGCACCAGTTCTACAGTAATACACCACAATTTAGATAATGGTATGCCAATGGTGTGCCAAGGGAAGATCATGGTGTAAATATAGCTTTTATGAATCAATGTTAAACTGAAATGTACGTGGAAGATAAATCACTTAAATTCTCTTAATGGTAAATTTGTAACATGTGAATAAAAGAATGTACCCTAAACCTAAACACCTAAAAAAAACATGTATTGTTTGTATTTTCAGTATGACTTCGTGGAGTTGTTGGATGGCAGTCGCCTGATCTCCAAAGACAAGAGAGCCTTGAGCGATGCCGACCTGGGTCACAGCTTCACTTCCGGGTCACATGACGAGGAGGCGGGGACAGGAAGCAGACACGCCCGCTCCATAAACGTCCACGAAGCTGGATTTATACAGTATCTGGACACCGGGATCTGGCATCTGGCTTTTTACAATGACGGACGCAACACGGAACAAGTCTCCTATAACACCATTGTAATAGGTACGGTGATTTAATTCATAGATTATTTGTAATTAAGTTATATATTTAATTAATACTTAATGCCTTAATGTTTTATTTATGTTTTTGTTTTTTTGCAAGATTCCGGCCGTAACAGTAGATTCTTCACTTAATACTAATATATAAATTGCAGATGCACAATATCATGATAAAAATGAATAAATGGGCACAAAAATGTTAAAATGGTTGGTACACTGAAAGCCATGTCCACAGTGAATTTCATTAATTTCATATGTAACAAATTGATTATTCTGTGTCCTTGGCTTGGCATTTTTAAATTCTTTAAAATTCTGTCAATCGTATGCGTACAAAAATAACCCCAGGAGACAAAACACACATCTAGTATTTAAATTAAATTTTTTACAACATCGTCACTTATAAACGTAAACGTAACTTTGTACGTTTTTGCATTAGCTTTAAGTTGCAAAAGAATACATTTTTCATTTCACTTTCATTTATACTCAGATACTAACTAATACTAAAACTACCGTATTTTCCGCACTATAGGGGCCCTGGATTATAAGGCGCACTGTCATTGAATGGTCTATTTTCAAAGTTTTTTCACATCTAAACTATAAGGCGCATTAAACAAAACACAACCGTTAGATAAGTCAGTCAAACTTTATTTAACACGTTCACAATAACTCTCAACTTTGTTCAATTGTAACGCGTAAAAAAATACTGTCTGAGACATAAAATTTTTAGCGTATTCACAATAAATCATAATTGTTGAGTTATAACTAAAAATAACATATTACACTCACTTTTTCAGTTTATTCCTCGTCCACAAATCCCTCAAATTCTTCATCTTCAGTGTCCGAGTTACACAGTTGGAAGATTATTGCGCTTAATACGCCCGCATCCCTTTCGTCATTATCCGAGTCAGTGTCGTTACTGTTACCTGGCAGTTCAGTGATGATTGGTGAAAGCTCGGACCACAGTTGATACTGATCTTTAGCCCAGGCGTCCACAATCCATTGGCAGATCGTGGCGTAAATCGCTCGGCGCTTTCTCCCTGTCTTGGTGAATGTGTGTGCGCCTTCTCTCATCCACTGCTCCCACACAGCTCGCACTTTAACTTTGAACGACTTGTTGACACCAACATCTAGCGGCTCAACTTCTGCTCTATTCCCATGTTTTACTGCGTGACTTATAGCCTTGAGTTTAAAGTTGGCGTTGAAAGCGTGTCTCTTGACAGGTGCATTTTGATATTAAAAGGAATCACAGTATGTGTTACTTCACGATGCTCCTGACTACAGTAGCCGTAATGCTGCACGTGGTGCGGCTTTGTAGTTTACTAAAGTCGTACTAAGATACCCCAATAAATTCATATGTAAGGCGCTCTGGATTATAAGGCGCGCAGTTGTTTTTTGATTAAATTAAAGGCTTTTAAGTGTGCCCTATAGTGCGGAAAATATGGTACTATTGAAATTTCAAGAATCTACCAATATTTTGTGTTGAAAAATGAATTCTACTTTCCAAAAAAAAAAAAAAAAAAAAAAAAAAAAAAAAGTAGAGGAGAAAAGGCATCAATTCAAAACTATTCTTTAGTATAAAAATGTAGTTAGAAAGTTCATGTCAACATTATCCACCTGTTAATGCTGAGAAAACACATAAATAATAGCGATATAAACACTACATAGTCAGTTTAGTTTAGAGTATTTTTCAACTGTGTATTTTGTAAAAGAAAACATTCAGAATTGAAATTAATTTGAGTGTAGTGGGCGTGTGCGTGTGAGCCGAGGATACACCCTGTTAGCTGAGGCACAGAGCCAGCACTGACAGCAGAGGCTGAGGGGTAATTGGATGTTAGAGTCTGTTGATTGGTCCGACTGCGGTAACTACGGCAACCACCCAGGACCCATCTCCGTGTGTTTTGTGCTTTTCTTTAGATATACACTACATCCAGCCTCGCCAATTAACACTCACCCCTGAAATGTTTTTTATTTCCCATCCCCGCTTCTCTCCCTCTCTTTCTGCCTCTCTGCCTTCTCTTTGTCTTTCTTGCTCCTTCTCTCTCTCCCTCTTCTTTCTGTTACTCTCGCTTTCCTCCTTTTGCATTCTCTCTCTCCTCTCTCTTCCTCACCTCTCTCTTCATCTCTGTCTCCACTCCCCTATCCCCCTCCTTCTTACTCCACTTCTTTGTCTCTCCCTTGCCTCCCTCCTTCTCTTGTTCTCTCTCGCTATCTCCTTCTCCCTCTCTTTTTACCCTCTCTCCTTATCCCCTTCTACCTTTCACACACTCTCCCTCCCTCACCCGCTCTCCGCTCCCCTCATCTCTGTCCTCTTTTTGTCCCACTCTCATCTCTCTCTCTCCATTTTTCCATTCTCTCTCTTTCTCTTCATTCTTCTTTCTCCATGTCTGTCCACCCTTCCCTCTCTTTCTTTCTCTTTCCACCTCAATTTCTCTCTTTCTTTGTCCCTTTCTTGTCTCCCCTTATCTATTACTCCCTCCCTCTATTCCTCCTTTTTGTCCCATCTCTACCTCAATATCCTCTCTCCCATCTCTCTCTCTCTCCCTCTTTCTTCTTCTCTACCTCTGTCTACCTCTCTCTCCCCCATCTCTCCCTCTTTCTTCCTCTTTTCCTCTCTGTCTATTGCATCTACATCTGTACATCTGTATCCTCTCCCTGTCTTCCATTTCTCTCTCTATCCCTTTTCTCTCTCTTTCTCTTCCATCTCTCTCTCTCTCTCTCACGCTCCTCTTCCATCTCTCCCTCTCTCTGTTCTCAAAATCAGAGTCGATTATGGAGTGTCCTCAGAATTGTCATGGAAACGGAGACTGTCTATCGGGAATATGCCACTGTTTTCCCGGCTTTCTGGGGCCTGATTGTTCTCGAGGTAAACACACTTTCTTTCTCTCTCTTCCACTCTTTTTCTCTCTCTCGCACACACACACACACACACACACACACTCGACAGTGCAGACAGTGAATACGGGGAGCAGGAGTTGTTAGCTAGTTGTCCTCCCAGCAGTGTGCCTGACCTGCGTTCACTCTCGAGGCCACTCTGTGAAGTCTGTTTCTATTCTTTTTAGTTTTCCACCAAAGAATACACCCCGAGCATTCAGCCAACTGGGATTTTATACACACTATATGGACCTGATCATTATGGGATGCTATATGTCCATTGGTGTATCTTGGCTTCATACTCTTCTATAATGAATGAACAGCACACTAAAATCCAGTGGCGCAACATAACAAAGTAAAAATAGTAAAGTTCTGTACTTCCTGTAAGTATACATTTTAGGTATCGGTACTCTACTTAAGTATTTTAGAGTGCATACTTTTAACTTTTACTTTTGGGAGCATGTATATGTACTTTGTAAGCCACTACATTTTTTAATTGAACTGGAAAGTAAAAGTATTTATCATTATAATATACATGAACATTCACACAGAGAACAGACAGTGGCTCCCTCTTTTCTGCATCATTCCAGAGCTTTGTGTTGCATTTTTGTATGAAATGGGTTCTATAAATAAAGTTTGATTTGATTGATTTGATTTGAATATTGTTTGAGACCTGCTGATAGGGCTGGGGGGTTTGTTTTTGACATGTCTGTAGTTTGAGTAAACAAAAATAAACAAAATACAACACAAATCATTATCAAATTTAATATACATTTGAAGCCTTATGGGACCTTTTTAAGTAAATTTTTAAGAAGGTAATACGGGTAATACTTTTACTTAAACATACATTGTGTATCTTTTCTGGTGGAGGGTCCGTCACCTGCTTGTTTCTATGGATACATCATTGCTCTGTCTGGAATGTTCCACAGTATGACATTAAACAGCTCAATTTTACATTTATTCAATTACAGGTGGTTTTATAGCTCAAAATTACCTAGAAAAACAGACATTCTGATAGTGAGCGGGGTCGCCTCTCCACAGATCTGACCTGTAACTTGGTCTGGTTTGGTCTCCATGAAGATAGAAAAGTTTAATGCCATACTGTGAAACATTCCAGACATAGCAATGGCATCGTCACCAGAAAAGTTACACAATGATCAATACACACTTTTACTTTTACTTGAGTATTTTTTTCTCTAGTATCTGTATTTTTTTACTTAATTAACAAAATGGAGTACTTCTTCCACCACTGCTTAAGTCATGTACTGTTAGGAGTGGTAGATTCAGGGTCCTCCCTTCACACAGATATTAGGCACTGACTCCCCAGTAACCTAGCGGAACTAACGAAGCCTCTCGGATGAGTGGAGAAACATGTTCACTCCAAAATTTTAATCCAGTTCACAGAATTTAAATTGCGTTTTGAAGCAGATGATTTTACAATCTACTTAAAGCTGAAAGAAAAGAAATATAATCAGATTCATACGATACAGTTATGTTATTCATTAGATCAGTATTTAACAATTCTTTTAAGTCATCAAAATGGCATCAATAACAGGCTTAGTTAAAACCAGACATATAGGTTGTTTTCCCCAGTAAGATTTTGCTGATTTTGCCAGCAGCATAAATTACAGGTCTTATATTATGCAAAACTGACTCTTGTGATGTTTAATTCATGTTATAATGTTGTTACTTGATCAAAAACATGCCTGGAGTTGTGCTTTTTCACTCACACATGTAACACTCAGTAACCCTTTATTATTGGTCTGTCCACATTAGGGATGGGCATGATTAGTCGATTAATCGATAATTGATCATTAAGAATTTCATCGATTACGTTCATTTTAATCGACAAACTGAATGTAGGTTGCTGTGCGTAGCGTGACCAAACAGGGGTCAGTACATGTGTCTCTCTGCACTCAGAAGGAGCGAGACACATACAGTGGGTCAGTCTGCAACGTACTGAAGCACAAATGCGTATTTAACGATGATTTGTACAAGAAATTCCACGCTTTCTGTTCCGTTCGGGAAAAGTGTGAGTCCATGTGCACAGTGTACAAAGCAGAACATATGTTTCGGTGTCCAGTGGGAAAAAGCTTTACCAGGTGAGAGAAGCGCAATGTCGATGACGTGTCCCCACCTCCCACCTCCCGTACGGTGTCCTGGTTTTGACAAACGCAAATATGGTCACGCGAACCTGTATTCCACTGAGTCATGTCTTTAAATCTGACAGAAGTTGAACCGCATCAGCGCACAAGAGCTGTAGTTTTATCTTCGCTTAGTTTATGCAAATTAGCGATGCGGTTTTAAGTTTCGTTTCTGTGAGAGTTGCGCAAAACTGAATTAAACACATTATAATGTCAAACGGGCTGATGTGGCTCTAGAGTGGTTACGGTTTATATGTCGTAAAGTTGAATTTATTTATGCAGATTAGTAGTGCAGATAGTAATAATAATGATGATCATTTTAATATAAAAACGTTAATGATTAATCGATAATCGATCGTTAATTCTTCCGACGATCAATTAAGAAAATGTCATCGAATGCCCATCCCTAGTCTACATCTCAAAAGCTTAAAATGCTCTGCTCCACCTTGTGATGTCATGCAGTGGTAGTTGCCAAGGTAACAGCTACATTTTACCTTTAGTTCAGTAGAGATGGTTAATTACAAGGCTGAAATTATCAAAATTTTTTCCAAATGATTCTAGTGAAGATGTATGGACATGACATCACAAGGTGGAACAGAGTGTTTTCAGTTTGAGAGAAGAACTCATCCTAAATATGCAGGATTTGTGGTATAAAAGTGTGTGAATGAAAAAAAAAAAAACATAACTCCAGCATGTTTTTGATGAGGAAACAACATTACAATATAGCGTAATATGGGCCTCTTTAAATTGAGCAAAGTGTACCATTTTGATGATAAATAATTTTATTTGTGCTGATAAATTTAACTCCAAGATCCATCTAATTGCTGTAATGATTACAAGAGGTATTTGAAGCTGTGTTGGGCATCAGCAAAAAATAAATATACATTTACATCAATGTTCCGTCAATAACACTTTTCACATTTTTATCAAAAGCATTATCTAGATTATCTGTGTAATTTGTATTTTTCCACTCTATATTGATTTTATTATTCAAAACAAGATTATTTCTACGTCCTTACCACTGCTACTATCTCTCAAAAGAATTTCCCAAATACATCTTTTTGAAAAATTAATGAGCGACAACCAAAGCATACAAACTGAGCGCTCTCCTCCCCTGCACCAGAGTCTAGAGTAGCACTGAAATTACCGAGCGTCTTTGAACACCCCACAGCATACAAATGAGCAGCTTGTAAACCAGGTTTCGCCTCGCTACCCCTTACACCTGCTCTACCTGAATCCGCTCCACAACAGATGTTAGCCTAGCATCTCCAGATACTTGTTCCTGTGGAGTTGTTACAGTCGTCTATGAATACAAGTTACCACCGGGTCTCATGTCCCATAGGAAGGCACAGGACTTTTTCTTCATGCTTAGGAAGTAGGAGCGATGAATTAGTCTTATATAGGTAATTTCCAGACATTTAAAAAGTCAATATAAAGCTAGTTTCTGATCTATTTTATTATAATGTTGTTTTCTTATCAAAAACATGCCTGGAGTTGTGTTTTGTTTCATTCACATATGTTTAACCCACAAAACCTGAAGTCTAGCCAACCAAAAATACTAATAACCAGTGGTACCAAAGCCAAAAAAGTCAAGTAAAAGTAAAAATATCAGTTTTTTCATCAGGCCTCAAACAATAAGAAAGTGTACTAATTTTCAGTCTTGTTCAAAGGTGTAGTGGAGGAGAAAGTACAGATACCTGCTCTCAAATGTAGTGAAGCAAAAGTAAACAGTATCCACTTTAATATTGACTTAAAGGTGCATTATGCAACTTTTCAGATAGAGCAAACATGTCAAATCAGACCACAGATAGGCTATAGAGACATTATTTATTTAGAATTTTGTTATTACTCTATATTATGTTGATCTGGATTCAGTGTTTAAGCAAAACTATTATTAAACATTTATTTTAATAAGAAAAGGTTTATGTTGTTGATGTTGTTGAAATTTTTCATTAAATATTTAGTTTGGCCCACGACTTAGTTAGTTTTTAATTTTTGCCCTCTGTGAATTTGAGTTTGACACCCCTGAGGTAGAGGCTCCACCACCTAGTTGTCACCATGGAGATGTTACTGCTTTGCCTGGAATGTTCCATAGTATGTCATTAGACCTACCTTTATTACAAGTGAAGTACATGTATTTTTATTACTCATAATGCTTTAAAACATGCATTCTCATTGTCAGCATAGTCGCCTCTCCACAGACCTGACCTGTAACTTGACCTTGTAGTATCACTTGCTTGGTTCTTTTGAAACTGATTTGTTTAATGCTGTACTATAGAAAATTCCAGACAAAATTATGACATCTCCATGGAAACAAGCTGTTGGTTGACCCCACACATTAAACTTAAAATAAAGTACAGATACGTGGAAGTACAGTAATTTACTACGTTTACTTCTTTACATTCCTCCACTGCTATAACTAATTCTGGTTTTCATTTTTTAAACACGGCAAACATCAGATATAGCATCTTTAAAGTAGCCACAATACCCATATACAGTTGTGGTGAAGTACTTCTGTTATTAGTTGATTCTTCACAGTTACAAATAGCCTACATTTCATCAGATTTTATAGCTTTTTTGACTGTATAGCCAATTATCCATTCAGAATGCGCTCCTCACTTTACGTTACCACATCCTATATGACTAAAACCAATGCCATAACAGTCCTAAAACTGCTCTCTGTGATGTGAAGTGTCCTCAGTGAATGACAGATTATGACCTCCCTGATTCAGTTGCTATCGTATTGCCATTTTAAACCAACGGAGCACATGTTATACCCATTACCTTTAAGAAACCTTCCGGGATATCGCTTTAATTAAAGATGATTAAACGCGCTATGTTTTGACTGATGGAGATTTTGATCCCATAATGAGAAAGCCAAAGTATTTTCAAAGAAGCTGTGGAAATAGGAACCTTATGTGCCGCAATTACCTCTGCCTATAATCCATCCATGCTTATGCAAACAGAGTGGCAAGAGCGGTAAAATCATCCGTCATAATTTATAGTTTTATTCCACCACATAACGCAGTAATGGCTTCTCCTCTAGATAGTTTATGATGGTGACTCCTGCAAACTTACATCATGAGGTTTCCACAGAGCAGCCTTACTTTGGATTACCGGTGGGTTATGCATCATCCGGAGTTTGGGACCAGATTGGAGAGTCGTTTCAGTAGATTATTAGCATTAGAGAGCAGGAATTGTAATTTGTGCGCAGTGGTTTTGGCATAAGAGGACCGGCTGACCACTATGTAATGTCAGTGGTCAGGTAAATTTAGCGAATGGATCATTATAAACTTCATATTATAGTCTATAGGCCATGTAATGTCAATAGCATATATCTTGCCCCTTATTAGTATGTCATTAAAGGTCCTATATTACGCAAAATTGACTCTTGTTAGTGTTATGCCATCTTACAATGCTATTATCTCATCAAAACCTACCTTGTGTTTTGTTTCATTCACACATGTTTGAGTAACCCTTTATTATTAGTGAAATTACATTACATTACTCAGAATGCTCTCTTCCAACTTGTAATGTCATTAAGTGGTAGTTTCAAGTAAACAGCTTTTACTTTTCGTTTAATAAAAATGGGCAGTTCCAGGGTTGATATTATCCATGCCATTGTAGTGACGGTTTATGGAGTTTAAGGCCCCGTCCACACTAGTACATATTTGAGTCGTTTTTGTTGCGGATGCAGTGTTCACCCACTCTAATCTGATGGAAAACAGCTCCAGAGATGGAACGATCTGGTGCCACCAGCTCCCACGAATTCATCTGGTCCAGCACTGTGTGGATGCCTGAAAACGCTGATACACTGATGTAGGTCTATGCACTGCGAAGTAATTCACGACCAAAACACTAAGTGGCTAGAATATATGTCCATTCATATATACGGTCTATGTGTACGACCTGCAGACGTACAATCTCTGAAAAGTTTAACATGAACCATCTCCAACATGATAGAAGCACAGAACGGACTCACCATCAGCAGAACACCCCTCTGTCACAGAAAGAACACTTATAATCCACTGAGTCATGTCCTTTAGTCTGACAGAAGCTGAACCGCATCAGGGCACAATAGCGAGCTGTTTTTTGAGCGCTTAGTTTATGCAAATTAAGTTTAATTTCTGTAAAATGTAAACAAATAACACAAAAAACACAGTGGAGCACTTCCTGTATTAACAAATGACATCACAAGGTGGAACAGAGTGTTTTTCATTCAAGAGAAGAACACAGCATCAGTATGCAGGGTTTGTGTGTTAAATGTGTGTGAATGAAACAAAACACAACTCCAGGTATGTCTTTGATAACAGAGAATAGCGTAATATCTAGCTCACATTTACTCAGCTGCAGGTATTTCATTGCTGTAAAACATATAGAAAATGGTGTGCTGGAATTGTGAGCGAGCTTGCTTCTTCACAGATCTGACCTGCAACTTGGCCTGGTGGCACCATGTGTATGTCTTAACAGAGATAGATCTAAGTTTAATGCCACTGTGTGAAACATTACATAAATTAAATAAATAAATAAAATGTGTGAATGAAACAAAACACTACTTTGGGCATGTTTTTGATGAGGTAACAACATTAAAACATGATTAAAAGTTCACAGGATTCACCCCATAGAACTATTGGATGTACACATTTTTAACTACCTATGTATGTTTTTTTAAGCGGCCTGCCCGGTCCTGTGCAGTGGCAATGGGCAGTACTCTAGGGGTCGCTGTCAGTGCTACAGCGGCTGGAAGGGCACCGAGTGTGACGTCCCATCCAACCAGTGCATCGACATCCACTGTGGGGGGCACGGCATCTGCATCATCGGGGCCTGCATCTGCAACACTGGCTACAAGGGCGAGAACTGCGAGGAGGGTAAGGAATCGCACTACCGACTCTGCTCCTCATAAAGCGTCACTGTAAAACCTGTGAGCCAAGACACCAGCTCTACTTTACTGTCAATTAGTGCTTCATTTATAAAACCAGTGAAGATGAACGCTGGGTGCAAAAAAGTGAGATGCCTTGCACAGTGACACAATGGCTATAGAATGGAGCAAAGAGTAAGGAATTGCACTACCGCCTCCACACTGCTCTTTATTAGTGCTTTATGCATTAAAAAACAGTGGACACAAACGCTGGGTGCAAAACAGTGAGGTGTCTTACTCAAAAAACACAATGGCTGGACAACTGTTGTTTGTGTTGATAGAATAATTGTAGAACCTCGCATTTGAAGGATTTATGTCTGAGCAGCAGCAGCGAGTTGTATTTCCTGATAAAAAGCTCGACAGCACATATCACCAAGCACCTATCTTACTGGCAAAGTAAAACTCCGCTACTGCTGAGAAAATAGTCCCTCAACCTGTGACGATTCATGCAATGCAAGGTTAGTTTTATTTCATTATTCTATCAACAGAGACATTCACATTGAGAGTCTGGTGTAATAAAATAGATTTGCTTCGGGTGTTTTGTGGAGTGGGTAAGTGTTTTTAGTGCCAGGATAACTATGGCCATTGACATGCACTAGCCTAGCACCAACGACCTCTGCAAATACAAGGACTGGATGGAATATTTTAAAAAGTGTCTCCACACGTCTCCAACACTCTGGCTCACTAGGAAATGAGGCCCTATGTCCAAAATTCCGCACTGTCCCTTTAATTCCATATCTGAATAAATGAAAACACTGAAAATGAACTATAACCTTTTTACATCAAAACCCCCTGTAAAATAATTTCAGCATTTTTAAAATATTGTTAAACATGAATGTATGTACCCACGCTTCAGTACTCCATAGATAAGGAATTATTCCAAAAGGACAAGACCAATAACTATGACTGTCTCTAATAATATCTCTTATAAGTTTTATAGTCACGCTAAAATGTTGAATATTTATTTTAAAGTTACACGCTCCACTTAAGAATTAACTACTAGATTTTCATTCACAAAAGGCACTGAAGTTCTTTCTGAAAACGGTTTGTGGCGGTATCAAGAGCGTTTCCGTGGTGACAGCAGAGATGGGGCGTGATAATGGTTTGGAGATAAGACTGTTACACTGTCTCTGGGGACAGTCTGCTGCACCTATTTCAACAAAAGAGGAGAACCAAAGAAACTCAAAGAGGAGGGGGGGTTCAGAAAGTACTGTGATCATCAAAAAGTACCGTATAAAAGAAATAACATGCATGTGTAGATGAATACTTGTATAATAGTGTATCGCTCGTTAGTAAGAGTGCTTGAATAAAGTATGAAAAACTACTTCAGTTTTGTCAATAATCTGTGAATAATTAAACCACTTCTGCTGAATTATTTTATTTGCGGGTCCAAGTTTTAAATATTTAAATTAATATCACATAATTTTAAAGAACTTGTCTCCAATCCTTTTCAGAAATTCCTATGACAAAACCCGTCGTCATATTCATCGTCAATACTATGCATGAAGTACTGGGGTCTAAAATCACAGTCACTTCATGAATCTACATCCAATTTTAGATTACTTCGACTTCGACTTAGACAAACATTATTGAACCACAAAGGAAATTATTTGGACACAGCAGCTCACACATCACAATATAATATAATAACAAATAGCAATCATATAAATGGCAATAATGAATTTAAAATAAGCAGCAAAAAGAGATAGCGACTTGTAGACAGACTAATAATAAAGGCTTACTCAGACATGTGTGAATGGAAAAAAAAAAACTCCAAGTATATTGAGGAAGTAACAACATTATAACATGACTAAAATTGTCAAAAAAAGAGTCATTTTTATGTAATATAGGACCTTTAATGTCAGGATGAGGCTTAAAGGTGCACTATGTAACTTTCTAGTAGGGGTCCGCTACCATGAGATGTTATTGTATGACCTTGAATGTTTTTTGTTTTTTTTGGTTGATGTTGTACTTAATTGACCTCCATTATCTATCAGCTACTCTTCCTGGAGACCAATGTTGCATGTCTTTGGGGGTTGAATGTTCCTCACTATGGCATTAAATGTATCCATCTCGAATTGAATCAGTTACAGGAAAACACATGAATTCATTTTTTTATAACTTTGTCGTTTTGAGGTGAAGGATACCCGGCCCAAAAAAAAAGGACATAAGACAAAATAAGACATAACAAAATATAAATTCAACACACAACAAACAAACAAAACTACAATAAACAACAAAACAACAATAAGTAAATAAAAAGAAGGGGTTGTTGTGTGTAGTACAGAGTTTCTCAATGCAGTGTTTGCATGTGTGTGTTTGCATTTTAGGGCTGTCTAATTTATTTTTTTAAATTTCATTTTAGCAACCTCAAAACACACTTACACATACAATACAATATACAAGCATATACCGTAATTTCCGGACTATTGAGCGCACCCGAATATAAGCCTCATCAACAAACTTTTAACAAAATTTAAAAATTGTACATATATAGGCCAACCTGAATATAAGCTGCAGGTGTCCACGTCTTCAAGAACGTTTTCAAGTTCAGGACCATTTGCTTTTATTGCCTCTGAAAGCTTTGGTCGTCTTTTTGCATTGAGTCAGAAAGTAGCAGCTTATAGTTAGAAAATTACGGTACATACACATACATGTTGACATTTTCCAACAAACACATGCATTCAAACTGTCATAGATCTGACCTGTAACTTGGCCTAGTGAAGTCAGCTGATTGTTTCCATACAGATAGATATGTTTAATGTCATACTGCGGAACATTCTAGGCATAGCACTAGCAGAAGACGGACCCTTCACCAGAAAAGTTACACAGTGCACCTTTAAGTCTTAGAAAATAGTAATTATAATAACGTCAGGATCATTTAGGTTTTCGTAGTTTCCAATTTGTGAAATATACAAATTGGAAACTATGAAAACAACAATCTCCTTCTCTTGAGTCTTTCATATAAATACAGTCTCTCTCCTCTTCACCTTCTACCACGGCAATAACATCTGTACCTGAAGCTACCGCACCAATCACTCACCAGGGACCAAAGTTTATCTTACTCATATATATTTTTTAACATTACCTTTATAGATTTTTTTGTATTATCCTATCTCCAAGAAAGCACTCCCCGTTAAAACGTGCTTTTCAAACCTCAAAAGCCACTTCTTGTTCCAATCTAACACAATGAAGTGCAGCCGTTCAAATCAAATGGTTCTGATTATGAAGGTGTGAAAGGGCCTTATTGCTCTGGTCAAATATTTCATTACTCCAAGCCTATCAAATCGTACAAACCTCCTTCCTGTGTAATATCGCGGCCTTGGAGGTGCTGACTGTCGCCCATTTGTAAAAGCTGTATTGTGGTCGGGGATTCATTTCCTACAGACGCATATGTGAACCGGAGCTAGCATGTGATTGCTGACAGGTCCTTGGCTAATCCGGGACCGCTAGCCGTACTACAGAACTCATTTCGGCTGCGCTGTGATCGATACTAATCTGGTGTTTGTCTATTGCACACATGCTGTACGCTCAGACCAACTGTGACACTGCACTGCAAAAATATACACGGGAGTGGAGATTCAAGGGCTGAAATTCTGCTGATCTATGTAATAATGGTGTTTCCTCATCACAAAAAATACCTGGAGTTGTGTTTTGTTTCATTCACACATGTTAAACACACAAACCCTGCATATTTAGGCTGAGTTCTTGTTTTTGAGGAGGTACTGCAACTGTAACTTTATTTGTAACGCACTTTAAAAACAACACAGGTAGGCCAAAGTGCTACAGAACATAATTAATAATAATAATAATTAAATAATTAAATAGAAAACAATAAAACAACATATGAATGAAAACAGAATCTAATAAAATGTCAACATCTCAAACTGTGTCAAAAGCCAAAGTGAACAAGTGTGTTACAACATTAAGGTAACAGCATTCTAACATGGCTTAAAGCTCAAAAGAGTCAATTTTGTGTTATAGATGATCTTCAAAATGAAAGTAGAATCGTAGAATTTCCATGATGACAGACCACAGAAATATGGGCTTGTTAGTGCACCTTTAATGTAGCCTGAAATAATGCATATAGAATAGACCACAAAAATTTGAAGATGCAGATCATATATGATTTCATTTTAATGACATTAATTTAAAGCAGAGGTCTCCAACATTTTTCCTCCGATGCCATACATTTTTTGCCATAAACCATTGATGCTCACAGTTAGGCATCAAAATGACATTTACAAAGGTAATAAGCTTTTACTTTATCAAATTTGAGTTGTTCAGTACAATATGTATAATTCATAAATCCCTTGGCGAGTTACTTGGAAGGAGGTGGAGACTTGTTTGTAGCTCCAGAGCCACAGGTTACAGACCCCTAATTTAAAGAGCCCATCTTCTGATATATGTTATTATGTAGGTTTCTCATCAAAAACATACCTGGAGCTGTGTTTTGTTTCATTTACACATAGTTAACACACAAACTATGTTTAATGAAAAACTTTGTTCCACCTTGTAATGACATGTGGAAGTGCTGCACAGTGTTTTTAAGATACACAGACATTCATAAGAATCCATCCATCCATTTTCTTCCGCTTATCTGGGGCTGGGTCGCAGAGGCAGCAGTCTAAGCAGGGACTCCCAAACTTCCTTCATCCCAGACACGTCCTCCAGTTCCTCCGGGGGGATCCCAAGGCGTTCCCAGGCCAGCCCAGAGACATAGTCCCTTCAGCATGTCCTGGGTCTTCCTTGGGACCTCCTCTTGGTGGGACATGCCTGGAACACCTCCTGAGGGAGGTGCCCAGAAGGCATCCGGAACAGATGCCCGAGCCACCTCAGCTGCTCTTGTTGACATGGAGGAGCAGCGGCTCTACTCCGAGCTCCTCCTGTGTGACTGAGCTACTCACCTTATCTCTAAGGAAGCGCCCAGCCACCCTGCAGAGGAAACTC